TTAGTTTAGGGTTTAGGGTTCAGGCTTTAGGGTTCTTTACGGTTTATAGGACTAGGGCGAGGGTTTAGGGTTGAGAGGCTTTAGTGCGTAATCCTATACAAGCCTTGCAGCAACGTGGACCATAACCATAAACCCGTTTCGTAGGTTCCTATATAAACTCTAAAACCCCCTTAGTTTGGGGTTCTTGGGTCGTCACGGCTTTGGGGACAAACGATCTTCCAGACGGGTTGAAGGCTCACCTCCGGATTCTAGAGCGGGGTTAAGGTTTGCAGCTTGGGCTTTAGAGTTTGGGTGTAGGGTTTAGGGTTTCGGGTGCAAGTGTTTTTTAAAAGTGCTATGGGACTTTCTCTCCGCCGATCAAGCCACAGCCCTCAGGGCCAAGCACTCAGGTAACAAAAGAAAACTTCCCCTCACTTTGCTCTCATTGCTCGACATTGAACTGTGTACTTACAGGGTTTAGGGTTGAAGGACCTCTAAACCAAAATCATAAGAGCTACCTGTATTGCACCCGAGCTTCTGCCACTGCCCACTTTGGCTGCATGCCCCGATGGCGGCATTCAGGCTGATCACATCCGGAGATACAGCCTCGTTCGTCCAGTTACCCTAAACCCCTAAACCCCTAAACCCTGAACCCTAAACCCTAAATCCTGAAACCCTAAACCCTAAACCCTAAACTCCTAAACCCCTAAACCCTAAACCCTAAACCCCGGATCTTGGGTTAAGACAGATCACCAACACGACCTCCCGGATTGCACAAGAAGTAAGTGGGGCTTTCAGGTTGTTAAATTCAGTGTTTAGGGCTTAGGGTTTGGGGTTTAGGGTTGAGAGATAAGGAGCAAACTTCTGGAAGCAACAAAAGAGGCAAAACGGCTACTGCCTCGGCTACTGGCTAGGTTCCTGAGTGACCCCTTTGTCATAAGGGTACCCTTTTTCCTGCTGTTCAGTTTTAATAAGGGAGCCATACAATAAAAAGGGCAAAAGGGTACTACTCAGGAACCAAACCCTAAACCCTAAACCCTAAACCCTAAACCCTAAACCCTAAACCCTAAACCCTAAACCCTAAACCCTATCCGCTGGGGAGCAGCACTTGCGAAGACGTCGAAAAGGATGTGCAAGGCCAGGGCCCATCTGCCGCTTTGCTGGCACGCATGGATGAGGGCATTGAAGCCTCGGTTCTCCCCCCAAAAAAGGGCACCCTTTCCCCTTTTAGGGTTTAGGGTTTAGGGTTTAGGGTCTACTTGGCTTTGACAAAAGGCACCCAAAATAAGCAAAAAAGGCAAAAGGGTACTAGTCGGGAACCTAGCAACTGATTCCATCTACACCTCGGTTCCAGAGTACCCTCTTCACTCTCACTATTCAGCTTTAAACTTTAAACATAACAAGGGGACCCCAAAAAATATGGACCTGGACAAAGCCCCATAGATCCCGAAGAGAACCCCATAGGACCCTTTTAACATCACCAGTCAGACCGTTTCAAGTATCCCAACATGGTTAAGGGGTTTAGGGTTTAGGGTTTCTGGGTGACCCAGGCACCAAGCCTAAGTACCAACATCTCCTCCAGCAGTGCCCCTGCGATTTGCCACCTTCCCGCAGCAGCACATGCACTGATACAAGCGTTGTGAGCGATTCTACCTCGGTTCAGAGTTTGAGATTGTTTACCAGGGTTCTGTAAAGGTTCCTTTCCAGGTTCCCCAGCATCTCGGTGAAAATCAGGGTACCCTTGTTGTTCCGACCCTTCAGCCTGAATACGAAGTCCCCTAAACGAAAAACATCTCTAAATCGGAACCCTTGAATACATCGTTGAACCCCTAAACCCGAAACCCCTTTAAGCAGAGCTAGATGCTCGCCACAACAGTCGCCAAAGCCATCATCGACAGAATCTGCAGAGCCACCTGCCATGCGAACGTTTTGCAGGCGCTGATGGAAGAGCCGAAACCTTGGTTCCGGTTGAGGAGCTTGGGTTTAAGGTTCAGGGCTTAGGGTTTAGGGTTTATAGGGTTTAAGGCTTAGGGTCTATAGGGTTTGGGGTTTAAGGTTCAGGGTTCAGGGTTCAGGGTTCAGGGTTTATAGTTTATGGGGTTTAATTAGGGTTTACAGGGCTTAGGGTTCAGGGTTCCGGGTAGCCGATACCGAGTTTCCTGAAAGACTTCGCGAAAGTATGAAGCCCTATAGCGCCCGTAAGTTACGCCAAGTCCCTTAATCCAGGGGCCTTCATAAGGGGTATACTATACTATACTTATGCTACGGAACCCCCCAAATAGTATAGGTAATTATTTAGACACCCTAAACCCTAAACCCAATGTTACACACCGTCAAACCACTGAAGCCGTTAAGCCCGACACTGTAAAACCTCACAAAACAGAATCCTAAACCATGGGAGTTAGGGTTTAGGGTTTAGGGTGTAGGGGGAAGCTTGGGGATATAGACCTTCTCAACAAGGTCCCTTTTTAGAGAGCCACAAGTAGGGTTAAGAAGGCCCTCACCCAGAGGCTCCATATATGGTACCATTATGGAATTAGGTCCCAAAAGACCACCCTTATTGAGGTTATAGGGACCTAATTCCATAATGGTACTATGTATGGAGCCTCTGGCTCATACTACCTATACAGGATAAACGGGACCCAGAGACTCTTCACGTCCGCCTGCACTCTGGCTCTGGGCATCGTCCGAAGCAGCTGCAATGCGACTTCCCACTGCCCGGCTCTGTCACAAGCTCCTAAAACGACATTGTAGCACACCTTGCTGTGGGTTTCAGGCTTCAGGATGTTTAGAGAGTTTGGGAAGTCAGTGTTTCCGGATTTTCGTTTAGCAACTCTGTGTTTCGTTCCCTAGGGCTAAACCATAGAATTACATCAATCCACCAGGAAAGTCCAAAAGGCTGCTGAATCAAACACGAAGTTGCCACATCGACATGACCTCCGAAGCTCAACAGCAGATCAATGGCTGCCTGCCAGTGCCCACCCTTACCATAAGCGGTGATGCCTGCACTCAGGGCGACGACATCCGCGCGCACTCTACATCGCCGCATCTGGCCCAAGAGATCTAGCGCCAAAGACCACTGCTCACCACGCACGTGTGCACTGATACAGCTGCTGAAAACGACGGCGTCAGCTCGTATGTCTCTTCCCAGCATCTCTGTGAAAAGCTGCCCTGCAACCTGCCACTGGCTTTGCTTCTCACAGATGCTGATGGTAGTACCTCAGGCCATGCTCCCTCAAGAATGAGGATACCTTACCCGCACAAGCCCCGTCAAAACTCCTAGTAAAATTGATCCCGGTCAACAATCGGGTTGCTCATTTCTCTCCTATTTATCTACAGCTCCAAAACCACAATCTGAAATCTTACTTCCCCCATAAACCACAGAAGCAAACGGCTTTCGGACTACTGCTAAACTGTATTATAGAAGGTTGAAAATTTTAAAGGTTGGGTAGTGGAGAAACAAGAATAAGCACTACACCTGCACGTTGAAAGCTCCACCCTGTAAGCCGCTTTTGCGACCTAGGCTATTTGTAGGTGTGCTTCCTTACTTCGGGGTTCCTTTTCGAGTTCCCTTTAAGGTAAACCCTAAACTCTAACCCCAAGGGTTCTAGGGTTTAGTGACATGCATGGCTTACCCCAGAGAAGGCGAGCTGCTTGGAAAAATGATAGGGAAGTTCCTTGGGCTAAGTGGGTACCCAATGGCTGAACTAGTGTTTATAGGGCTTCGGGATTGGTACTATGAGGTGTATATTAATTTCATGTGGGCTGGGCACTGAAGCTGATAACATCCGCCTTCACATGCGCTCCCTGCATACTGGCCAGCAGCTCCAGTGACCATCCCCACCCCACCCCCGCACATGCACTGATGCTAGCATTGCAAGTGACCACATTGGCTTGAAGTTTGACTGCCGACATCCCCCAAAGCATCTGCAAAGCCAAGGACCATGCTTTCCCTGAGGCGCATGCAGTGATGCACGCATTATACGTGATGACGTCTGCCACGAGACTTCTGGTGCAAATCTCCGAAGCTATTTCGAGGGATCGCAGCCACTGTCCGACCCCCCTATTGCATGCGGCGATCGCCGCATTGAAGCTGATGGTGTTCGCAACGCAACCGGCTGATGTGAGCAGTGAAAGTGCCAACTCCCATCTTCCGCCTCTCTCGCAAGCGCTAATACTAGCACTCCTGGGCTTGGAATGAAAGTAACCAAGGGGGGAGAAAGGTAATGTAGGGGCCTCAATAATTAGAATGGTGGGGGGGAGGGGGGGGGTGTCCCAAAATAGTATAGGTAACTATTAAGGCACCTAGAGTATAATCTTTGCTTCATGATGGTTCCTTCAAGGAACAGGTCAACCCTAAACCCTAAACCCCTAAACAAGCAAACTTTCAATGAGTATGGTACTCCAGAACCAAGACTCACGATCCTCACATTCGCACCGGCTGCTTCCGGAACCTCCAAGATAGACCTGGTTCAAGCCCAAAAGCCTTGTATAGTATGGTCTTTGGGCCCAAAAGCCTTAACATACGAGTCCATAGAGCCTTAGGGTAGGGTGTAGGGGTTTAGGGATTCTGGTTCCCTGTTGAGGCTATATTAAACATGATCATCTTTCATCCCTTTTGGGCTTTATTATAGCAAAATTGCTATATCAAGCATGATCAAAATTCAGGTGCTATTATAGCAGAATGCTATTAAACATGATCACCTTTCATCCTTCTTGGGTTTTATTGTAACAAAAATGTAAAATGGTAGCCAACAAGGACCCAGAGACAGTGCCCTCTGCCACTGTCTCTCCCTACTGCATGCACTGATACCCAAGACGACGCTGCCCGCGGACGGTCGACAATTCTCCTTACACTTCCAAGACATCACAGAGGTGATGAGCTTTGGAGTTTTGGGGTTTAAAGGTTTAGGGTTAAAGGTTTAGGGTTTAGGGGGTTTAGGGTTTGGGGATGAGCTGAGGGGGTTGGGGTTTCAAGGTTTAGGGTTTAGGGTCTAGGGTTTAGGGTTTAGGGTTTGGGGTCTAGGGCTTAGGGCCTAAAACGGTAACGGTAACCAGTACTCTCGCCACGACTTTTCTTGTGGGGCACATCAGAGTAGGGTGGTGAGACAAATCCTCCCTAAACCCTATAAACCCTAAACCGTAAGCCCTCAACCCTACAACCTTAACCCTAAATCCTGAACCCTGAACCTGAACCCTCAACCCTAAATCCTAAACACGAAAAAGAAACCTAGAAACCCGGCCTTGGAGAACAAGACTGAACCAAAAGTACCAGCAGTTCCCACAAGACTTCACAAGATGTGGGTTTAGTGCTTATTATAGGATTTCGGGCTTAGGGTTCTCTAGAAATCGCTGCCAGACTCTATAAATTCCCTAAATTCTAAGCCCCAAACCTCTAAACCCTAGCTAGAAAGCCCCCACGATGCTCCACCCTACGGACTCCTCTCGGTCTCAGACCGTACGGTTTAGGGTTTAGAACAACCCTAAACCCTAAAGCCTACTTGTATACACTAAACCCTAAACCCTAAACCCTAAAGCATAAACCCTAAAGCCTAAAGCCTAAAGCCTAAAGCCTAAAGCCTAAAGCCTACACCCTATAGGGTTTAGCAACAAAACCTCTTTTCTGGAACTCCCCGCAAGCAGGGAGCAGAACCCTAAGAGTCCAAACTCGGTCCTTGGGTTTAGGGTAGGGTTGAGGGTTTAGGGTTTAGGGTTTAGGGTTTAGGGTTTAGGGTTTAGGGTTTTTGGCTGTGTAACCCAAAGGCTCCATATATAGTACCATGATGGAATTAGGTCCCGAAAGACCATCACTATTGAGGTTTTAGGGACCTAATTCCAGAATGGTACTATGTATGGAGCCTCTGGGTAAGTTATTTAATACTTAATTTAACTTGGGAGAATGTATGGCTGTTGTGCACTTGGACCCCTTGGGCTACAAAACAGGCTTCCCCAAGAAGAGCCTTAGGTTTCGGGGGTTGAATAAGGAAATGTGATTCTTTCAGCACCGAAAACCCTAAAATAATATCGTTTGAGAAGGCTTTCATCAGCTCAGTCGGTGTCATAGAGCCCCTACACCGTAAACCCTAAAAGTGCGCATGTGTATGTATATGTGTTGTTAAGGCGCTAAGCCCTGAACCCTGGACTCCCTAGGCCCTAAACCTTACCTTACCTTAACCCCAAGCAACCTACCTTTGTAAGGACTTAACGAAAGGACACCGTAACAAGGAACCCTTAAAAGGTAGGTTCTTCAGGGTCAAGGTAGACCCTACACCCCAAAATCGTCAGGATTCCCAGAGGGGCTCGGTGATGGAGTGCAGAGTCCTTTGCCACTGCGATGTCTGGTGACGACGATCGCGGACCATGGGCTCAGGACCATGTTTCAGGGCTTTAAAGGGTCTTCTATCGGTTTAGGGTTTAGGGCTTAGGGTCTATCAGGACTGCGGAGGATTTAAAGGGCTGTGTAGGCTTTGACTTAACGGGGTTGAGAATGGTCTGAGCAGTTTTGGTCCGGATTGGGGTCTGGTTTGGAAGTCGGGGTGTACGGCGATGCTCTGAATTCCAAACTATCAACATGCCTCCAACGTGCGAGTTGAATACGGAAGTCTACCCTGGAAAAGGGGCTCCTAGCTTTCTGGGGTAATTAAGGATTGTGAAGTGTCCGATGTCCCCCCTGTGCCAGAACCAAAACCCTAAACCCTTATCCCTGAGCCAAACCTGAAACCCTCAAACCTAAACACTGAGCCAAAACCAAAACCCTAAAGCCCTAAACCCCAAACTCCCTGAGCCGAAACAAGAGCGACCTCGCAACCTGGGACTCAACTCCTCCTCAGAAGGAAAATCTTCTTACAGGCCCTCTAAGCTCGTGACTCTTCTGAGTGTATATCTCTTCGGGTGCTTAGATCCTTGTTGGGTTCTGCTCCTTTCAAGGGGAGTCTCAAAGATGTCCCTAAACCCTAAACCCTGAACCCTAAAACCTGAACCCTAAAGAACTGGGACTTACTTGTTGGGTCTATAGCCAATACGCCCCTTAATATATATATATATATACACACCCACCCACTTGTCTATGTGTGTATGTATGTGTATATATATATATATATATATATGTATATGTATAACATGTGTGTATATATATATACATATATGGATAAATACATGCAAAGGGGTGTGCGGTAAGGTGTTTTTTGTGTGAGCAGGTGTTGTTAAAGTGCGCTCCCTGCTTTTTTGTGCTTTGTTTGGACCCACCCTATTGGCCTGATCAGTGGGCAGTTCACAGGCTTTGGAATTAAGGCCAATATGGGAACCTGATTGAGAAACCCTGGGTCTTTACTAGAATTCTTTGCTCATATGCCTCCGAACATTTAAACCCTATAAACCCTAAACCCTTGGGGTTTTAAAGCCAGGGTGTCTTCATCAGGTTCCTGCATATGGGTAGTACTCTAAAATAGGGTGCCTTACAGGGTGTTTACACAAGGGTGCCGTAGTACCTTGAGGACCTAATTAAGAAGGGACCTTGATTTAGAGAACTACCCATATGTCCAGGACCCTGTGGGAAGCCTCTAAACCCTAAACCCTAAAACCTAAACCCTAAACCATAAAACCTAAACCCTAAAACCTCTCTTGAAGCATGGAATTGTCCAGACAGTCGCAACCCAACGACCGACTCGAAGGAGGCACATGAGGGCTGTAGGGGCCTTAATAGTTCGAACAGAATTTTGGGGTGCATTACTATATAATGATAGTCAGGAACCCCCCCCCAAAAAAAAAATACTGATAATTACTTGGGCCCCTACATTAGGTCGTTTGCGTGACAAGTTAGGAAACTTAGAGCGCTCCAGGGTTCAAGGGGTGCACGAATATAGGGGCCTCAATAGTTAGAATTGGGTTTGGGGGCCGTTATACTATACTTATAATAAGGAACCCCCCCAAATAGTAGAGGTAATTATAAAATGCTTCATGGCAAGGGTTCAAAGTTTCGGAACCCATTATGGATTTAGGGTTTTGGGTTTTGGGAGTTGAGGGAGTCGAGGGAGTTGAGGGCTGAGGGTTGTACAGATTCTAGGGTTAAGTCTCGGGGGAGCTTGGGGTCACGGGTTCGGGGTTTAGGGTTTAGGGTTTAGGGGGTTTACAGAGACACTAGAGCTTTGTGTTCTGATGGTCTGAACCAACCCCCGGTTTTCAATAGAAGCTTGATGAAACTCGCAAACCCAAAGTGCGACACCTGACCTCTATAACCAACCCCTACATCCCACACCCCACCTGTAGCTCTGCAAACCTACCTGCGCAACTGAGTTGTGTAATGTACGGAAGGTGATATAGCTTAAGCTTTATAAACCCTACAGCACCAACAAAAACGCCAAAAGCCCTACAAGTCAACCGATTTTAGGGTCTAGGGTAGGAGCCGTGTATTACAGCACCCATAGCCAGTTACATTGGAAAATACCACAAACCCTAAACCCTAAACCTTAAACAATCCTATAAGCCCCGTGGAACCTTTTCAGACCCTATGAAGGTTTCGAAGCCTTGTCTGGCTGGTGGCGTGAAACTGCTGGGTGTTGGTTCGCGGGTTGGTGTTCCGTGACACTCATAGAAACCTTATAGGGTTTGGTGTTTAGGGTGTAAGGACTTAAGATGATATTTGAGCGTGTACTACCAGAATGTCCTAAGGGTCCATGGGGATAGACTTCGGCCCTAAAAGTATTTATGTAGGGACTAATTGGAGGCCGAAAAAACAGTATATACTGTTTGGGCCATGTACCCTTAGGCGAAAGGACTCCTAACCCCGAAAGCTCACAATCTCCTACACAAGTCTTATCAACCTTCCTAAACCCTAAACCCTAAACCCTAAACCCTGAACCCTACCTTTCCCAGAGACGCTGTATGAGCAACTGGCTTCCTTCCTCAAGCCGCCGGACAGCGGATCAGAAATCGTCAGCATCCCTGGGTTGCCCAACGAGGCTTCGATAAGGGGTAGGGTTGAGGGTTTAGGGTTTAGGGTTTAGGGTTTAGGGTTTAGGGTTTAGGGTCTATAAGTTCAAGGAAACTACAGGTGGGGAGTTTAGGGTTTAGGGCTTCGGGTTTAGGGTTTAGGATTTCAGGTTTAAGGTTTTGGGGTTTAGGGAACTACAGGGGGGGGAGTTTAGGGTATAAAGGGTTTCTATAAGGCTTCTATAAGGTATCTAGACCTTCTATAAGGCTCCTATAACGGTGACTACCCACCTTAAAATGTCCTAGAATAAGGGGTGTTGTAAAAGGTCCCATGAGACGTTTTAGGGAAGTTCTGCAAGGGTGTCTTGTAGAGGTTCTCGAAGGCGTGGTAAGGAGAAATACCGCCCGTAACCTTCGTGGGCCCAGGCCTAATATCTCAGTAGGCAAAGGCAAACCATAAATCCTGAAACCTTACACCAATGACAAACTTTGCCCACCATGGTCCTACCCATAAGACGTTTTAGGGAAGGTTCTGTAAGGGTGTCTGTTAGAGGTTCTCAAAGAAGTGGTAACGAGAGAGAACGCCCTTAACCTTCGTGGGCCAAGGCCATATCCGAGGTAGGCAAAGGCAATCGATAAATCCTGAAACCCTACAGCGAATCCCAGAAAGTTGGAACATGGGTTTAGGAGGATTGGCGCTAGGATCCCTTATATTCTACCTTAAGGGCATGAGGATAATGATGTGCCCACTTTCTGGCTCTTACTATACACCGAGGACAAACTTTGCCCACCATGGTACTAGGTACTGTCATGGGAAGACTTAGTTACTCACCCAATCAATAGTAACTCAGAGTATGGGTAGCTATCTAACGTGGGGTCCATGTTAAGTTTTAAGTCCCCAAGATAGTACGGCACCCTTGTAAAAGGACCCTAACAGGGATCCTAATTTAGAGACCTGCCCCCATATACCCTAAACCCTAAACCCTAAACCCTAAACCCTAAACCCTAAACCCTATAGGTTTAGGATTTAGGGTTTAGGGTTTAGGGTTTGAGAGTTGCTCATTCCTGCCCTTGTCCAGCAAGGTGTCGCAAGCGCCCACGACTGACTTTCGTGGACCCAGGACTTAGGGTTCTGACCTGTCCATGACGGCTCTGTTTGCTGTGGCATCCTGTTGGCAGAGGCACAAGGGTAGACGCCGATGTCGCGACACCTTGTTCCCAGCGTCTGCGGAAGTTAACCATGGCTGCGCACCCACAGGAAGGCCCTGCACAGGCAGAGAAAAGAAGACGGTCAATGCCTTTGCCACTCTGCGCGAGGCCGGGTGCGAGGGCGGGCGAGGGCGGCCAGTCAAAACAGCCCGTGAAAGGATATGTGCGGCGATGGCTTCCAAACCAATTCCAGTGGACCGCTCCACAAAGTCCTGCATCTGCTTGATGAGGGCGTGCATCCTGGTGCCCCCAGCCAGCTGCCAGTGGCCTCCGCCTAAGGCCTTTAATCTAGGTAAGCCTTACAGAGCCTGTATTGCCCCTTCAAGGAACACACCCTAAACCCTAAACTCCTAAAATCCCCAAAGGCTTGTAGAACCCCCCACAAAAACCCTTAAAGCGTCCCCAAGTCCCGAAACCCCTCAGCCCTAAACCCGAATTCGCCAAGCATGCCAGGGCGCAGGTCAAACTTTCCTGGCTCATGGGCCAGTCGTCTTCGTAGGCGTGAGCTAAGAGTTCCTTCAAGGGCTCTTTTCAGGGTTCCTTTAAGAACTTTAGGGTTTAGGGGTTTGGGGGTTTAGGGGTTTAGGGTTTATTTAGGGTTTAGGGTTTAAGGGTTCAGGGTTTAGGGGGTTTTTAAGGGTCCAAGTAGTCCTTATTTCTGGTTGCCTTAAAACAGCACGAGCCAATTCTAAGGGTTCATTCTTGGGTTCCTTTAAGGGTTCCTTTACGGGCTCTTTTGAGGGTTTTGTACGGGTCCAAGTCATCCTTGTTGATGGTCAAGTGCCATAATAGGGAGTATTTGGACCCATAGGGCAATTTTCGTGGGCAATGAGCACATGCCGGTGTCAGATCGTAATGCAAATTTACGTGACCAACGCAGACCGTGACCCTCAACCCTAAACCCTGAACCCGAGCATCATGGCTGTTTTGAGCCTTAGGGTGGGCGCCCAAGTGCTTATCATATACCCTTCAAAACAGTAACCGGCATAAGACTATCCCCAAAGCGTCCTACGTACCTGTAAGGGTTTTAGGATTCCTGTAGGAGCTCCTATACGTAGCTTTATAGTAGAATGTAGGGTTTCTAGTTTGGGTAGGTATCCCCCATAAACCTTAAACCTGTGGGATCCCAAACACGAGTACAATTTGCTTAAGGCTTAGGGTTGAGGGTTTAACTAGGGTTTAGGGGCTAGGGTTTAGGGTTAAGGGGTTTCGATTTAGGGTTTAGGGTTTGGGGTTTAGGGTCTAGGTAGTCGGGGATTCTGCCTACCAATCTATTCACCTGAAGTTTGCCACTTAGCCCTTATAGATCCCTTTCATTCATGGAATCCTGAAAGGACCCCTCAAAGGAAACCGGAAAAGATCTCCGACAGGAACCCTCGGAACCTAAACCCTAAACCCTAAACCCTAAACCCTAAACCCTAAACCCTAAACCCTAAACCCCTAAACCCTAAACCCTAAACCCTAAACCCAAAGGGGGAAGCTTCGGGTGGTGTTGCACTCGCACGGGCATCCAGTCGGGGTTGGAGTAGGGCACCTAAGGGTCATACCCTACCCCTCTTTTGGGGGACCTATTCTTCTGTATGACAGATCCTAGCCACACAACTAGGTACCATAAACTAGGGGCAGGGTATGACCCAATGAGTAAGAGCAGCAGGGAATAAGGAAAACCGAGCATTTACAGGCTGTAAGACGAGAACACGAGGACTGCCAGTATGAGGCACAAAACCTTAAACCCCAAGAAACCCCTAAACCATCCTAAACCCGAAACCCTAACGAATCCTACACTAAACCTTTAACCCCGAGAAACCCTAAACCCCACCTTGAAACCCTAAAACCCTAAACCCCACCCTTAAACCTAAAACCCTCAACCTGTGCTGCGTGACGGGATGCCTTGATGGCAGACAGGCTTGCAAGGAGTTAGGGTTTAGGGTTTAGGGTCTAGGGGTTTAGGGGTTTAGGGTTTAGGGTTTAGGGCTTAGAGCTTTGGGTTTAGGGGTTTAGGGCTTCGGGTTTTAAGTCTTTAAGGTTTAGGGTGTATAGGGGCTTAGGGTTTGGGGGTTTATGGTGGACACCACCCGACCGAGAAGAGCATAAGTTGACAAGAACATACGTTGCCAAACCTTAATTTTACCCTAATTAAGGCTCTAAGGAATCATAGTTTAAGGGTTTAGGGTTTAGGATTTTAGGATTTTTAGGGTTTCAGGGTTTAGGGTTTTAGGGTTTCCTACCCTAAGGCTCTAAGGACTCGTATTCTAAGGCTTTTGGGCTCAAAGACCATACCATCTAAGGCTTCTGGGCCATTCTGAGCCTTAGGGTTCATGTTCGAGGATGCAGAAGGTGGGTGAGTAGTTATACGCTGCCAGAGGACGGGCTTCACTGTCGTAGTGAATGCTTGAACTAGAGGTGCTCTACCATTCCTAGGTTCCTGAGTGACCCCGAAATAATAAGGGTACCCTTTTTCCTATAGTTGGGTTTTAATAAGGAGACCCAAAAATAAAAAGGGCAAAAGGGTACTACTCAGGAACCTAGATTCAGGTTAAACCCTAAGCCTTCAACCCGGGAACCCTGGATGAAGTACTGCCCAAGGAACAAGATTCCGGATGGCACAAGCTGGAGATCGCCATTGAGTGGCCTCCCGGCCACGGAAGAATCAGGGCTTTCCTTCTAGGGCTGAGGGTTCATAAACCCTAAACCCCTACACCCTAAACCCTAAACCCTAAACTTCATAAGGGGAACGAAGAAACTAACCAACAGAAGTGGCAGTGGCACTGGGCGGCACTGGGCGTTGACAGCAAGAGAGGCAGTGGCCCGCTGTGCTAGCGCTAGTATTATGACTTTTTTCATTGGCAAAGTCAGGGGATCTCCCGGGAATTATTTTTATGATTATCTTTCGGTTTCGTTATGATTTAGGTGTCTTCGCCGTTTACGATGTTGATACGGTTCTGGTTGCGATTTCAATACGGCTACGTGGGAATCACGGCTCGGAAAGCAGCTCGGCTGCAAGTCCGAAAACCATATCAAAAGCCCAGTAAACATATCAAAACCAGTCCTGGAGGAGTGTGGAGACGTATCGAAATCGCATCAAAATCGTATCCAAATCGTATCGNNTCGTATCGAAATCGTATCGAAATCGTGTCAAACGGTAGCAAACGTATCCGAACCCGTATCCGAACCGTAAAACATAAGAAAATCATAAGAAAATCGCAGCCGGAAGGATTCCTGAAATCATATCAAAACCATATCGAAATCATAAAAATAATTTATTCCTGGAAATCGGAGCTTGCCAGCACTCTGAAAGTCTTAACGCTAGTAGGGGTGGCCGGAGCGGGAGTGGGCGTGTAGTAATGGTGGTGGTTATCGTTGGCGTGCTGGGGCGCTAGTATAGGGGCAGCAGCAGCAGGAGGAGTACCTCCAGCAGTAGTAGTAGTAGTAGTAGTAGTAGTAGTAGTCGTCGTCGTCGCAGTCGTAGTAGCAGTAGCAGTAGTAGCAGCAGTAGCAGCAGTAGCAGTAGGAGTAATAGTAAGTAGCAGCAGCAGCAGCGGCTGCAGCAGAGTACTATGAGGCGAAATCAATGTTAGAATGATTGACTCGCTCTTAAAGTCACGACTGTGCGACTGTGTTTCAGGATTGTACAACACAATCGGTATTGCTGGCTCGATGCCCAGCCGAAGAACTCAGGCTGCCTCCAACATGAGTCAACAATCCTGCCTACACCTGAACCAATGCCGACACAACGAAGCGCGGCTAGACACAGGAATATCGTGCCATGAACACAGAACTTTGAAACCACGAACCCTGCATGCACTTTTGTTTGTCGCCATTTCTTTGCTGCGGCAATCTCCACCATAGGTGCGACACCATCCTCTTGCCATCGCAGGAGAAAGGCGGCGAGATCTTCATTGCCACCTGGCTGCTGTGCCCTACTGTGAGAAGTACTCCTAGGGTTTGTTTGGGGTTCAGGGTTCAGGGTGGGATGTACATAAGACTCTTAGCAGCAAGCCTAGATTCCCAAAGGGTCCTGTATACTGCTGTGGCGAATACTTGCCCGAATCATGATAATAATTCCTACGGTAGAAACCCTACATCCTGCCATCCATAGGTACACAGGAAACCAATTGAAGGCACCCCAAAACCCCTATACCCAATAAAGGAAACCCCTAAAGGAACCCCACATTCTATTGTTTACGTACATGGGGCCCTTGGGATGCCTCCTGAACCCGAAACCCTAAGCCCCAAACGGGCGGTCCTATAATGTAGAAGACGTAGTAGTTAGAACTGTAACAAGGCCTTGGTCTATATTATACCAAAAATGAAAGAAGGAACCCTCCACCAAAAAAATAGTATAGGTAATTATTAGGGTCCCTATATTACTCCATCCCAATCCTAGATCCTACATCGTGAACCCAACCAGCTACCACAACAGACCCACAACATCTTGCAGAATAGAAGGGCTTCATAACATGAAGAACCAGCTCATTAATAGCAGTCTTTGAAGCTTCAGGTAAACCGTAAACCCTAAAGCCTTACACCATCAAAACCCTAAACCTTAAACCTTAAAACCCTAAACCTTAAAAACCCTAAACCCGAAACCTTCAAACCCTAATCTCTAAAGCCTTAGAACCCCAAACCTTAAACCCCGAAACCCTGGAAGAAAAGCTGAACCCGAAGCTGTAAGCCACCGTAAGCCCCTGAATCCTGACAACCCTCCAAGGCCACCCGAAGCCCTACTGTAGGGGCCTTAATTAGACTGATTAGGTTTTTGGAGGTTCCTTGTTATCATTATAGTATTTTAACCCCCAAACCCGATTCTAATTATTAAGGCCCCTACAGTACCTGAAGCTACCAACACCTACTGTTTTTTGTGTTGTCCCGAAACATTCTATACCAAGGTTCATACTAGGAACCTACACTAAACCAGGGTAGGATTTAGGATTTTGGGTTTTGGGTTTTGGGTTTAGGGTTGGGTAAAGCCTCACCCCCAAATTCTGGCCAATCCCACCCTCACTTCTTGCTATGGCTCGCAGCTCACTTTGCATAATGGCCGTACTTTCCATTCAGGTTTCTATGGCAAGATTTACTGACAAACACCAAAATGTCGCAATCTGCCGGGACGAGGCAGACGGCGCGTGGACAATTCAATCCGAAAACATCCCTCCCTAAACCCTAAACCCTAAACCCTAGACCTAGACCCTAGACCCTAAACCCTACTCCCTAAACCCTAATCCCTAAACCCTAAACCCTAATCCCCAAACCCTAAACCCTGAACAAGCGAGACTCGCCTGAAGCTGCTTGGAGCTCTGCCAGAAAACGAACAAGAAGTTGCCAGCATCCGCCTTGCAGCTTGTCATAACCCTATTATTACTATTGTTATAATGTACTATTGTTAAATCGTAAACAGCCCCTAATAAAGTAAAAGCATCCGCCTTGCAGCTTAGAAGATCGAGCAATGCAGCGCCTTCTAAACCTTAGAACCCTAGACCCTGAACTTTGGGTTTTGGGTTTAGGGTTTAGGGTCAACCCTATACCCCAAACCCTGAAACCCTAAACCCTAAACCCTAAACCCTAAACCCTAAACCCTGAACCCTCAACCCTAAAAGGCCATGAACCTTGGAACCCAGAGGGTCCGCAGGGCTTCCTGAACTGTTGCAAGGTTCCTCTAAGGCTTTTAGGGCTGCTTTAAAACTTTGGACGGTTTCTTTAAGTACCTATATAGCAACACGTAGGGTTTCCATAGCAGGAATGACTGTTCTGTTTTTTTTTGTTCAGGGGTTCTGTTGTTCGGGTTTCGTTTTTGGGGTTGGTAAGGGAATGGAAACGGATCTTAAAGGGCTCCTTACAAAGAGTACACACCGATCGGGTTTTATGTAGGGATGTAGTACAGGGGCCTCAATAACTAAAGCAAGGTTTTGGGGTTCAGTATAGCTTTATGTCATACTCCTGAGAAAAAATGTTGGTAGTTTGATTTCGACGCCTCTAGCGAGGCTACTGTAAGCTGTTCCGTAAAACGATTCCGTTAAAGCAGTATTCGGCCTAGTAAATCCCCCCCAAAGCCTTGTAATTGCATGGTCTTTGGGCCCAAGAGTTTTGAAATATGCCTCTTCAGAGCCAGGAAACCTAAACCCGTACGCAAGCCTTGTGAAACCGAAACCCTAAACCCTAAACCCTACACCCTGAAAGGTAAGCCGTTAAGCCCCTACAAGACCCTTACCCCTAAGGGTCCAAGTACCTAACTATCATTTGCTCTGCAAAGGAATAACCTACACAACTACCATCCCAAGCCCAAATACCTAATTACTGGGTCCTTTGGACCCATAGAGTATATAGCACCCTCTGTACCAGAATTGGGGCACCCTACTAATCCCTAAACCATTGAAAGCCCTATAGAGCCCTTAATCTGAATCCTAAACCCAAAGCGCTAAACCCTGAAAGAAACCCTTAAAGGGTATAGGGTTTAGGGTTTCAGGTTTAGGGTTTAGGGGTTTAGGGCCCTAGAGGCAGCCCGCACCTTGATCACAAGCCCGGACGCCGGCAGAGTAACCTTGTAGGGCATATAGTTTTGGTTTAGGTGTTTAGATTTTGTTGCAGGGCTTATAACTTCGGTTTAGGGGTTTAGGCTTTACGGGTCCAGTTTTTGCTTTATGGCTTATAGGGTTTAGGGTTGACTTACTTGCTAAGTTCATAAGCGCCCTCCCAAACAAAACAAAAAAGTAAGCTTTTCAGTTGGCTTCGTTTAGGCTTCCCCTGCCGCCTTTTGGCGTATTTGGCTTCGTTTAGGCTTTCCCTGCCGCCGTTTCCTGGCACCCTAAATATGAGGATTTTTTTTTGGAGGGGGGTTCGTAAAAGGGTTCTGTAAGGATCTGTAGGATTTGTTTAAGGTGTTATGGGGTTTCAAAGTCCAACAATGAAGTACTTGGGTTTGGGATAATTGTTTTGAAGTTCAGTATTTGGGAGAGTCTATGATTAGTAGATCTTCGGAAACATATAGTTCTGGAATTTGGTATTTGAGGGACGTTTAATTCAAACAGACCCCGCCCTTTCTATAGGATTCCTACTATGGTCCTTCTTGAGGGAAGAGGATCCTACCATGATCCTTCCTTCTTGAGGGAAGGGATTCCTACTAAGTTACTATGATCCATCTTGAAGGAAGGGGATCGGAAGTCAGGGGTCGCCCCTGATGAGCTCTATTCCCGGTGCCTGCCGGTGCTCCCAACTGACACCCTAAACCCTAAACCCTAAACCCTAAACCCCTAGAGCTGATTGACATTGCCGACTGAGCATTTCAACAGGTTCATGAACACACCACAACCGGAACCCCAAACGCACCTAAACCGACACTCTTGAATCACTTGGGGCTTAGGCTTTAGATCCTCCTGAACGTGCTATCCCTATCAGTGGTGGGCTCCAGCGCCTTATGCTTTTATGTGCATATATAAGTGGCCCCTAAAGCAACAGACCAGGTGCTGATGACGTCTGCCTGCACATGTACCGACTCCATCTGCTGCAAGAGCTTCAGAACCCATCTCCACTGCTCCGCCTGACAGTCAAGGAACTAAAGGAGCGACCCTTAAAGGGACCCTTAGGGTTATATAGGGCTTTGTGAGACTATATAGGGGGTCTATAAGGGTTATATAGGGTCTTAGGATTAGGGGTCCCTGCAAACAGGGGAGCAGACTGCGGGTTTACCTTGACCCCCAACTAGATGCTGTCTTAGCTGATAGACCTTAAACCCTAAACCCTAAATCCTAAACGACGGGATTGGGGCCTCAGGGTTTGGGGTTACCTGGACCCTAAATCCCAAACCCTCAACCCTAAACCCCCAACCCTAAACCCGAAACCCCAAACCCTAAACCCGAGACCCTAAACCCTAAACGCCCTAAACCCCACACCCCAAACCCTAAACCCTAAACGCCCTACCGTCTTAAGGACATCCAAGCCGGAAGGCCCTGAATCCTTCTGCCATCATGGAAGATTTACAGTTTAGGGGTTAGGGTTTGGGGGGGTTTAGGGTTTAGGGGTTTAGGCGTTGCTCGTCCTCCAACATCTGGCGCCCCTTGATGAACTCCGGGTGGGTCTCCAACATGCTCTTCATCGCGCTCATCATCTCAGCCTTGTTGTTGGCGTCCTCCCTCACCTCGGCGATGACCCTGAACCCTAAACCCTAAACCCTAAACCCACAACCCTAGGTACCTGGCTCTCCTGGTCTCGCTTGCTCTCCGTGGTTGGCCGTCTGCATCGCCTTCGTCGTGTGCTTCTTGACCGTCCACCCCCCGACTTCGGTTGGGAGTCCAAGTCCGCGATTAGGGTTTAGGGTTCAGGGTTTAGGGTTTAGGGTTTAGGGTTTAGGGTTTAGGGTTTAGGGTTTAGGGTTTAGGGTTTCTCCAGCTCGGCATCAGACAACGCCCGCCCACCTTTGCCGTCGCTGGAGCGAGTCTTTTGTTCTTGAGCTGCCACACCAGGTTTGACCCATTCATGTGTGTCTTCGACCAAGGGTTTAGGGCTTAGGGCTCTGCATGGGTTGAAGGCTTAGGGTTTTCGGACCTGCTGCAAGGAGTATATACTTGAATCGGAGAACGGATCCGAAGCGTCCACATTATCGCATACTCGTATACTCCCCCAGATAGTAACCCACGTAGCGGCTATCCGAAACCTAAATACCTACGGTTGATGAAATAAATCCTGCATTATACCCATGACAAGGAATAATTATGCCATAACGCCCATAGTTTAAGGTCCTTAAGGCAATGCAGGATTCATATCATCCTAAACCCTAAACCCTAAACCCTTTAAACCCTAAACCCTTAACCCTAAACCCTACTTATCGGAACCTGCGGATCCCTCCAAGGGCGAGTTGGAACGACCCCAAGAAATGTCAGCGGGCAGGCTGGGGACTTCAGCAATACGCTTGTCCTGTGGCTTAGGGTTTAGGGTTTCGGGTTCAGGGTTTAGGGTTTAGGGGTTTAGGGTTTAGGGTTTCGGGTTCCGGGTTTAGTGTTTAGGGGAGAACTTTGGGTTCAGGTTCCGGGGTTCAGAGTTTACCCGAAACCCTACACTCTAAACCCGAAACTTAAACCCTCCCTAGACCCCAAAGCCTGTGATTCAGGGATCACAACGTCCTTCGTTTCTTTGGCTAGGGCTGCGGGGTCATTCTGGGACACATTCCCACATCGGAGTAGTAGGGATGTAGCTAAGGCGGTTGGCAGAACTGAGGGGTTTAGGATTGTACTTGAGTGTTTAGCGCTGGGGTTAAGGATTGTAGTGCGCACTTGGACTACCCAAGTTGGTTTGCTGCTAATTACAACTACGGCGGCTGCCCCAATCCCAGAGTAGTTCGTAATGGTAAAAATTCCAACAAGAACCAAGCCCTAAACCCTAAACCCTAAACCCTAAACCCAGAGCCCCACCCACCTTCTGACAGGCGCTGAGGCTTGCATTGAAGCTGATCACGTCGGGTGCAGTAGCTTCCTCCACCTGAACTACTGTCTGTTGCTTAGTGGGGAATGGGGGAATGGGTTAGAGGGACTACTATAAGGGACCTGAAGGGGCTATCATAGGGATCCATTCCCCCATTCCCTACTATATAAGCACCAGACAGACTAGGCGAATGCGGTATCCGGGCTTTAAAAGCCTTAGGGGAGCGAAGAGCGGGCCTTAATTTATGCAGATCGGCGTAGCTCCCGAAACGGTCCTATGTACCTATATCGTAGAATGTAGGGTTTCTATCGTAGGAAGCACTATCACGATCTGGGGAAGTATCCCCCATCCCTAAACCCTAAACAGTAGGCAATGACCGTACATAATTATAGGAGCCCCTGGGGTTTGATACGGCCCATGACTTTCTCAGACACAGGTACTATAGACGCCTTGTTAATTATCACAATAGGGTCTTGGGGCCCATCATACTATACTTATAATAAGGAACCCTAAGGAATAGTATCAGTAATTATTTATGTTTATTTATTAATTAATCCTGTTTTTGCATTCCCTCCTGAAGCCCTAGGCTCCTTCTAGAAGCCGTTTAAGGACTCCTTCTAGAAACCCTTTAAGGAACCCTTGAAGTGACCCTTTAAGGGTTTAGGGCTTAAGGTTCAAGGTTTAGGAACCTTTGAAAGAGCCAGTTGAAGACTAACAAAGCCTGATGCTTCGCCTCCGCCAGCAATTGCAAAGCCAGCTCCCAATATCCACCAAGCTCGCAAGCGCTGATAGCGGCATTGTAGCTCCTCGCTTGACGGCTAGGGTTTAATTATAGTAGTTGAACCTTGAACCCATTTAGAGTACATGTCGTCCTTAAGAAAGTGTTTAGGATTAATACTATTGATGACATAAACCCTGCCTTACCTTATAAGGACCCTAACCTACGGGAACTATGGTACATTCCTTATCATGCCCTAAGGGTTCATGTACTCATAGCATATACATGGGCCTTAAAGTACCTATATAGGGACTACATTAAGGCCAATGTATATACTATATGAGTACATGGACCCTTAGGGTAAGGTTCTAGACCCTAAGCCCTAAACCCTAAACCCTAAAACCCTAAACCCTAAACCCCTAAACAAGGTTCAATGGTTGGTTATGGTACATTCCTTATCATGGGTCATGCAGGATTTGTATCATCAACCGTGGTGCTCAGCAGTCGGGCTGCGGATGTGTTTCTACTGCGCCTAAACCCACACTGAGGCTTTCGGCATACCTAGCGAAACCTACGGTTTTTGTAGGGTTCCTATAACAAATTCAATATGAGGGCTAATAACTTTAGTGTTTAGTGTAGAACGACCTCGAGCCATAAGCCGTACACGCCTCGCACCCCAAGCTCCGTATCCTGATGGGTCTGGGGTTTGAGTCGCCAGGGTTTGGCCTTTTGGGGTTTGGGATTCGGGCGTTAGGGCTTATAGGTTTAAGGCGTGCCCAAACCTACGAAATAGTGTGATGACCCCTGATTATAGCAGGTATGAGCACCAAAACCGTGAGAGTTTATGGTATCTAAACCCTAAACCCTAAACCCGAAACCCGAAACCCTAAACCCGAAACCCTAAACCCTAAACCCTGAACCCAAAACCCAAAACCCTAAACCCAAAACCCCCAAAACCCGAAACCCGAAACCCCCAAACCCCGAACCCACGGCTGCGGGCTCGGAGGTCTTCCTGGCTTCCCGTGTACGTGCACTTAGACTTGATTTCATATAGAGGCCTGAATAAGGTTTAGGGTTTAGGGTTTAGGTTCCTTTAAAGGGTTCCTTACAAGGGTTACATAAGGGCTACTATAAGGGTTTCGGGTGTACCTTAAGAACCCAAAACCTACTTTTTTGTAGGGTCCCTATAAATCCAATATTAGGGTTTATAATAAGAACCTACAAAAAAGTGGGTGTTGGGTTCTTAAGGTAGGAAATCATGTTCCGGAAAG